AAGGGAAGAAAAGAGAAAGGAGGGAGAGAAGGAGGGAGGGAGGGAGGGAGGAAGGAGGGAGGGAGGAAAGAAAGGAGGAAGGGAGGGAGGGAGGAAAGAAAGGAGGAAGGAAGAAAGGAAGGAAGGAAGGAAGGAAGGAAGGAAGGAAGGAAGGAAGGAAGGAAGGAAGGGAGGAAGGGAGGAAGGGAGGAAGGGAGGAAGGGAGGAAGGGAGGAAGGGAGGAAGGGAGGAAGGGAGGAAGGGAGGAAGGGAGGAAGGGAGGAAGGGAGGAAGGGAGGAAGGGAGGAAGGGAGGAAGGGAGGAAGGAGGGGGGAGCCGGAGAGGGAAGGGAAACTTTAGGGAAGCCAATTGTTTAGTTTATTTAGTATTTAAAATGCAATCATATGGATAGACTTTGGGAAATACTTCCCTTATGACTATAATTTCACCAACTCCTTCCTGTGCTTATTGAATTGCTGAAAATAATTACAAAAAGTGTTATTTCCTCCTCTGATTCCTCTAGGAGATGACACAAATCATTGAGTCCAAATGACTTAAGCCAAAGTGGTTCTTCTTGGTTCTTATATCATTGTTTTGGAGTCAGCCCAGTTATCCACACTATACCATCTGTACTATATCCTAAACATCTCTCACTTTTACATCTGACTCTTGCCTGTATTGTTAGATTCTCAACCCTTTTCCCTTGACGCATCTCCCAAAGTACAGATAGATGATTATCCTCATTCTAATGGAAGGGAGAGAGAGTGAGGATCATCCAAAGAAGTTGGTGTCCAAACACTGTCTCTGTTTAGCTTTCAAGTGTATCATACAGATGTTCATATCACAACAATTCACCCACTGCTCAGAAAACTGACAATTCTTATAAGTGGTGTCTAAATTTGGAAACCACAGCTGTTTTTAACAATTGAGTTACTGTCTTTCAGGTGCCAAAAATATCACCTATCATATTCTCCAGGGTTCAAAGAAAGAGGAAAGAGGGGAAAAAGCAAAACAAAAAACAAATTGAGAATAAAGGTAGCATGAAGCTTCTCCAGTCACATAAATTATTAAAAATAACTACTGTAACTAAAACCACAATAGTAATAGCACTAAAAACTAAGTTTCAATAGCATTTAACAGAACAGGACTTCACATGACCTTCTTAACCTTCCTGAGAGGGAAGGAAGATAGAGCTCTTAAAGAAACAGAATCAGAGAAATTAAGTTAATGTCCTGACGTCACACAACTAAGCCTAAGCTCCAATCCAAGCCACCAGACTTCAAATCCTGCATGCTATCTCTTATTCAAACAGCCTCACCACAGGTTTACCTTACCAATTCCACTTTGTGTTTTAGTCAGAAATATGCCCTTTTCTATCACTGTGGGCCTGGGGATATCAGAGTGGGGGGAGGTGTTATTAGGACTTCTCTGAAGTTCCCAAAGTACAGAAACACACACACAAAGATATCATTTATAGCTTTTGGGTGAGGGCTTCAGCTATCTACATATTAAAATCCTGCTTGGCTCATCTCCGAAGAATTGGTTTTGGGACTTACAAGAAAGAAGTTGGCCACTCTTCCCCGGTCTTCACTTTGGACTCTAACTTCCCATAACCCTTCCTACCCACGGGGACTTCAGGAACTGAAAAGCAACATTTAAACCAGCAAAGATTGGTGACACCTTTATGATCTTCTCCCAGCTCTCATCTCCCCAGGACAGGCCAGTATCTAGCACATCCTGGGCTGTGCTGAGAGACTCTTGTCTTGAAGGCCCTAACATTGGAGCCAATGAAGAGTCTGTCCTGTGAGTCAAGTCTCAGAGAATCACTCCCAGCAGATACCTATTTAAGGAAATATCTAGCAGGAGTTTTGTAAGAGAAAGTTGGAAAAAGAAAACTAATGAGGGAAATGACTGAAGGCTACTAAATGAAACAGGGAGGATGGAACTTTGGCTGACAGTATTTTAAAAAAATAACTGCAAAAATATTTCTGACCCTAGATGCTCTTCCAGAATCTTGCCACTCCCCCATCAAGAGAAGTTTATTTCCTTTGCCCTTGAATTTCCATCAGTCTTAGAGACTTCTCAGGGTAGATTAGAAAAGGTGACACCATTTCCACCTGGCTCTCTCTTGGGCATCTATCGGAATTTAGAACCTTGGGAGGAAGCTCAGGCTACATCAAGAGTTCATATGAAGGTATTCCTGTTATGAGTCCCACAAAGGTGCTGGTCAGCACCTGGCGTCAACTAACTGCCACACTCAAGAATCAACAAGCCCTTCTGATGCTTCTAGTTGAGAGCCTTTGAGTCATCCCAGCCTTTGAGTCTTCCAGTGGAAGCTTCAGGCAACGTACAGCAAAGAGAAGCCATCTCTTCTGCATGTAGGGCATTTCTCTTAGAGGCTCCACTATTTCTGACATTGTACTTTGCCCTCCCCACCCAAGTCCATCAGACATGTTTTCAAGGTCTGAATCTCAAATGTGCAGTTTGTGCCTTTTTCCTTAAGTTTCCCTGGCCTTGCCTTCACAAATCAGGAGGTGAGCTTAGCTTATTAATTTCAGTCTTTGAACATTCCTTGATGGTTAAGGAGTATGCAGTGGTGGAGAGTAATGAGTTGTGAGGAGAAAGTTCCAGACTTTCCTCTCACTTTTGTCTTAGTTCTGACTTAGAGCTTTTTGTTCTATTTTTAAAAATTATATGAGCACAGCTAAAATCTTCACGTTCAGTACCATGATACCACTGAATCATTTTACTTCCAGTGTGATCAGGTCAAAACAAAAAAGTAAAAAATATAGGGAGTTATCTGTCTTGTACAATGATGTAATACAAACACTTGGAATAGTGCCTGTAACACAGTAAGCACTCAATAAATATCTACTGAATGGAAAAACAAAAAAATAAATAAATGAGATAAAATTTCCCCCTCCACATAAGCACAATATGCTTAGAAAACAGTACTATTCAATAGGTTGACATTGTACTATCAGCTGGGTTTTTATGTTCAAAGCTCCAGGGAACAGATTCATGTGGGGCTTTCCATTTACATTTTGACTTGAGCAAAGACAAATGTTGTTGGTGGAAATTAGGCTCCTCCACAGGATTGCAAGGAAAGCAATCCAAGGATCTATGCACTAGAGATTGTGGCGTGGTAAAGTTTATTTGTGATGCAGGTTCTATTCTTGGGTTTCCAATGTCCCATCTCCCACTATCACACCATGGAAAAAAAATCAACCACGTCTTTAGCAGGGCCAAAGCAAAAGCCATAAGAGCAAAGGTCAGAAGAGGTCATAATCATCAATATGAAAGGTGAGGGGGTGTCTAAACCATAAGACCTGCAATCTGCTAGGGGAGGAAAGGTTACCTTGGTAATGGGGGGGGAGTGAAATCCTTAAAAAAAATAGGTTGACATTGTACATATTAAGTAATATGTTTCTAAACCTGCTTAAAGTAAGTATTAAACCTTAAAAATGTGAGTTCCTCAAGGGCAGACACCATGTCTTATTCCATTTTGTATTCCAGCACCTGGTGCTTGCTTGGTACTTGCTAAGTGCTCAGCAAACATTTAAAAATTCAATATTAAAAACTAAATGAATGTCAAACACTGACAGAGATATTTCAAGTCATTTCTTTCTCCTAGGCTTTGCCTAGTAGAAGGCAGTGACAGGTACGTGCTAGCCAATGCACCTGGTCCTCAGACAGATCAGATTTGGGTGCAAAAATCCAGAAGTCCTGAGGCTTCCCAGCCTTTGATAATGAGGGGACTCAAAAAGGATATTTTTAATTCAATATATGACATTGGTATGAATGAAAAGAAGGGTACAGACTTCCACTTTAGTGAATCTAAAGTATTTTTCTATAATTGTTCTATATAGGATTTTATTTCACAGCTAATTTTATAAATGAACCATTTCATTCACTTGTACATTCACTTATTTATTCAACCTATATTAATAGAGGCCTATCTGTTGCTATTATTCTGCAAATATTTGTTTAATCTGATCAAGAGACAGTTAAGTGTTCAAAAGGTCCCCATTCCCTGGAAAAGGACCTGAGCAACTAAAGATGTGAAATCACCATTTTGTAGAGACAGATGGAAATTGTAGACATAAGATCTCCATGGTTCAGAATTAACTAATCCAGTGTATTTCAAAATGTGATCTGCATTGGGTAAAATCACTTAAAGGGAAACTATTAACTATAGAGATGTCTGGGATCCACTGCACACATAAGTCAGAATAACTTCCTGAGCAAGTTCTGGTGATTTGACTGTACTCAAGTTTGAGAACTATTAACCAAACAAGATGTCTTGTTAATAGGACCTACATGAAATTGCTGAATATAATATGGCTTTCCTCACATCTCTACAAAAGTTAGATGTTACTTGGCTGGTTTTAAGACATTTAGAAATAGTGCAAATATCGCTCAAAATTGCCAGTTCCCCAGATCAAAATTTCACTTAATAAATGTAATCATCCTCTTTTTTACCTAACCCCAAATAATACCCTGCATTTAAAAAAGAAAATAAAGTAAATCTATCCTTAAGAAACTCACAATTTAATGCCGGGACCCGTTTGGCTCAGTGGATAGAGCGTCGGCCTGAGGACTGAAAGGTCCCGGCTTCGATTCTGGGCAAGGGCATGTACCTTGGTTGTGGGCACGTCCCCAGTAGGGGGTGTGCAAGAGGCAGCTAATCGATGATTCTCTCTCATCGATGTTTCTAACTCTATCTCTCTCTTCTTCTCTGTGAAAAATCAATAAAACATATTTAAAAAAAAGAAACAATTTAAAAGCAAACTATTACAAAATATTTGTTATTGAACCTTGGTATATCACATTTAAATCCTCCATTTGAAAAACAATAAACAATTGTCAACTGTGAGGGGGAGCTCTGCACCATGCAAACTTGCACTAACTATATTTCTACCCTGGTTCCCACAGTGCTGCCACTCAGCTGGGCCCCATTGACCTTTTCCTTGCCTCATCCCCAAACTGACTCCTCTTCTTCCCAGGGGCCTTTTACTCACTTTCTGAATTTTCCTAATCTGGTCAGAGAGTGTATCCAACAGGCGAGTTTTCAGGAAGTCCATCACCTTGACAACTCGGCCATCAATGTAGCAACTGGAATAAAAATAAAATAAGAATCAGATAAAATCTTGAGCAGAAGACTACATACACTTCTCTAGTCAAAGGTGTCTATTTGCCTGAAGAAACCAACTAAGGTTCATTTGTATTCTTATATCCTAAGAAGTTTAATCCTGGATACTTTTCAAATAAATAATATACTTTTTATTCTTTTTAAATTTTATTAAATTCATTGGGGTGTCATTGGTTAATAAAAATTGATAGGTACTGAGTGTACAATTCTATAATACAACATCTGTATATATTGCATTGTGTATTTACCACCCAAAGTCTAGTCTCCTTTCATCTCCATTTGGGGGCTAATGTGATTTTTTTCAACCTTTATCATATGAAACTTCATTGTTTACTCTATAGAAATAAACAGGAATCCATAAAACAATGGAGAATGGAGAAATGGAGAAAATGGTAATGGATAGAAGGTTACATTCCCTCCCTCCCCATCTTCCCCAAGGAATGTAATTTAACACTCATTCCATATCATCCTTACCCATACCTTAAAGTAATAAAAGTATATGAGAGGTTTGAAAGAATAATCAAACATTTTTTATAGGTTTCCACACTTATAAATAAGAAAATAAACACCAACCACAATAATGTGATTTATTGTAGTGAGTGAGTCTTCAAGGTTTCATCTCCAGTTCACCTTCCTGGGCAAAATATTTTGTGGTCAACCTTCTTTTACCATCTTCAAAGTAAATGAATAATGAATGAATGAACAAACAAACAAATAAATGAGTCAGATAGATTAAAGTCCAGGAGCCCTCTTCTAAAATAGTGAGAAGACACTCATGGGTGTGTCCAGGTTTTGTTAGGTAGCTTCAGTGAAACATCAAGTTGTGCTGATACTACACTGTGAACATTTGATTCCAACAGTTGCATCCAGCTTTGTGAATATGCTTTTTGTGATTTCTTATTCAAAGTCAAAGCTGAGACTGGCCCAGGATTAAGTGACTTTATTATCTCAAACCTCTGCACCCCTATCTTTGAAAAATTCCAAATTAAATCCATGCTTATGACTCTCGGGTGCCTTTTCCAAACCACTCAGGTCTTCTTGGCTGATGGCTAATGTTAGATTATTTCACTTTTAATAAGACATCAACCTATCAGTACACATTTTTGAACTATGTAAAAATTCTTTTTTAATTATAAATCCCCATACCAATGTACAATGTAGTAGAATGGTTAATTCTTTTTTAATTATAAAGCAGGTGCTCTGGTTGAAGTAAGGGTGGGAGATGAACTCCACCCATTCAGCCCTCCTCACTACCTCAGACATTTCCACAGAATCCAACATTGGCATGTTGGAAAGAGTATGGGTTTGGGAGCCAGAGTTTTACAATTTCAGATTCCAAATCAGGTATTTCCTATCTAACTGACATTGCACAAGACAGTTGGCCTCTATCAGCCTTAGTTTTCTTATTCTTGAAAGAGAGGTAACATATCTACTTATCAGTATTAACTAAACATTAAGTACATAAACTTCTTAGTATTAACTAAATATTAAATACATAAACACAGTAAGAACTCAACAACACTTAGGTTTGTATGTTTTTCAAATTTCTCTAATTTTCAGCTTACAAAGATGGGGTCATAAACAATATGAGACTGATTAAATTAGTGTGAGTATAAAATTCTAAAAATAGAAGTATATCACAGGGTACATGTTTTTGAAAATTTTTTGTGGTTACTTATTTTAGGGAATAAAAACAAAACAATGACATGACCTTTCACCTCATTCCTGGTACAGATGCTAGACTCAGGTACAATAAACATTTATGTCCATTACCTCCTATTAGTACTTCACTATTAGCACCCCTGATTTTTTTAAAAAGTTGTGATTAGACAGCATATAACATTTGCAACAGCATGGATGGAACTGGGGAGCATTATGCTAAGTGAAATAAGCCAGTCAGAGAAAGATAAATATCACATGATCTCACTCATTTATGGAATATAATGAGCAACATATACTGATGAACAAAAAAGATCCCAAGACAGAGAAACATCTATCAAACCATCAAACCTCAGAGGGAAGATGGAGAGATCAACCAAAGGACTTATATACATGCATGTAGGCCTAACCAATGGACACAGACAACAAGGGGGTGAGGGCATGAGTCGGGGGAGAATAATGGGTGAATAAGGACATATATGTAATAACTTAATAAAGAAATTAAAAATAATTCATGCAATGTTAACCTAACACATACTGAAGAACATGACTAGTTGTATCTATTTTACATGATGACTAGGCATATGATAAAAATGCACTGTAATAAATGTTCTTTTATGTTTTAATCAAATATATTTCAGTTTCCTCTTTCCTCTTTGTTAGCTCCAGTATCTATTTTCAACATCAAAGTTTATAAATGTTGCTGGCAACACGTACAGTTAAATACTGATTGAGATAAAAGTTACCAGATGTACTTTTTCAACGTACACCCTCCTATCCCACACAACCCATGGTCCAGGGTTGAGGGGCTCCTCACTCTTTCCCTCCTTCCTTTTGTTTCTTTTCTCAAGTACACAGAACCTGGAGTTAGAAAACCTTAGTTCAATCCCCATTTTGCAACTTACTACTTATATGATTATTGTGTTTCCCCTTCTTTAAAATTGATTTAACAAGAAACTATAGTATTTTTACAGGGCTACTGTATCAATCAAATTAGAAATCAAAATGCTGGCACAGAATCTGGAAGATAAAAAGAACTCCATATGCAAATCTAGCTTCCAAGTTACTTAAGAGCCCAAGGTGGCAGTAAGCTAGACTGTAACACCATGGAATGGGATGAGCAGGGGAGCATCAGTCTGGGGAAGGAGAGCATGTTCATTCACTGTAGGATTTGGAATGGGGAAAGTATGGAGCAGCAAGAACGGACGATCCTAGTAGGTGAAAGGCAGAGGGAGGGATGGAGAGGGTTGCGATTATCTTGTAAACTATGGAGCTTGAAAAGACCTTTATGGCCATGAGGTATAAAGCAGGTTAGCTTCCTACATCATCCCTTGAAAAGTGATTATGTAGGACAGGGAATCCACTTTCATATACTATGAGTACCGTTCCACCATACTACAGCTTGGACCCATGAAAGGCTCTTTTAACATGGATCTAAAATTTGCTTCCTGTTATTGTTCACTCAATAGCTATTTTCTTAGACCCAAGAAATAGTCCAATTCCTCCTTCATTTAACATGTAGGGGGGAATTCCCATAAAAACCTTGATTAAGCTTTTTAGAGCCTATTGTTGCCCCCACATTTAACCTAACAAGCTGGATTCAATCATTCTCAGTTGGTCTCAGGCTTTGCTGAGACTGTGAATTATATTGGAGCAGGGGAGACCTGCAAGCAGGAAATGCGTGTGACAAGGTTATCTTATCTCAATAGTGCAAGTACGAAGGGATCTGGGTCTAAGTAAGGGAGTCCATGGAAAGATGTAAAAATGAAAGCCTGTAAAGAAAGAACTAATAAAATAAAACTTCTATGGAGTGTAAGAAAAAGAGGAGGGAGCCAGTGATGACCACAAACTTATGAGAGAATATTTTGGAGTATACTGTTGCCAAGGACATGCAGGCCAGTCGGATTAGGTGTTAGGTTTGTCAAATGAGATGAACAATTTTGTCTGAAATATCAAGGATGCAGAGAATATCAAAGAGGGAATATACAACAGGTAATAGGAGAAATAAAGAGGAGGTACCGAGAAGTTATGACAGGTGATGATAACCTGGGTGTCCTTTTCAGTTTGTAAGTAATAAATGCAGCCATGGATATAGATGAGCTCTTCAAGAGAACAAAATAAGTCAACAGAGATGTAAGTTATCCTCTAAAATACTCCTCAAAAATGACCCTGGGCATTGCTTCTACCTTTGACCTTGCTAAGAATCCCTTCTGTCCCAACCAGAACAACATGCTGTCTTTTTAATAACCTCAGTCTGAATCAAATACACATTTGGATGTCAGAGGAAGCCCCATAGTATTCTGAGAAGTTTCAGCAACTTTTACTTGCAACCTTAAACCCACATTTATGTTGTACTGTGGAAACAGGAACTTTGGTCCCCCAGAATTTAATATCACTTTTAAGTGGGGATAATTTAACTATCTGTATGAATCTAATAAATACCTAAGCCCCTTTTTTGGGGGAACCTTTGAACATTTAGCTTGTTGTACTTAACCCCTCAGAAACTGCTAAAAAAGCATTCAAAGTCAATAAACATTGGTTAAAAATATCTGCCTGTTACAGAGCTTTTGGTTCTCTGATAGTGGCTGCCTGTAGTAATGGGCCCAAGATATCATTTATATTTGGATATGAAGGAGGTGGGATAGCCTGTGGTATCAATTTGGTAAGAGTTAATTATTAAAAATGATGAAGATGGTGATTTCTCAATAAGACTAGGTAAAAGTAGAACTGAATTCCTACTGACTGTCAAGTGCTGGGAGCAACTGTCTCTGTTTTCTCTACTTTTTTCATTATGATGATAAATATAAATCTTAGCTACCAATCAGTCTCTCTCTAAGAGTTAATTTAGTAATAGTTACAAAGGTGTCAGAAGACTAAATAAATCAGAGAGGAAAGGAAGAATAGAGGGGAGGGAAGAAGGGAGAGAGAAAGGAAATCCATCAGAGGTACTTTGACATCTTCTACATAAATCCTGGCAAAATGGTTGGTTCTAGAAATACTAAGACTGATACTTTTAGGCAAGTCATACCCCTCCTCCAAACCATCTTGAAATTTCAGCATCTCTTAGGATCCCTCCATGGTGACTGAGTTCTACTCAAGTTGAAGCCAAGAGAGACTGTACGGGAACAACCTTTCTGTGAAGTATTCCAAATGAAATGAGGTTGAAACCTTTCTGTGTGGACAAATAGTCTGTCTCACTCAATACCAGCAACCCCCCACCCCTTCTTCTGCTGGCCTGTAGATTAGCAGCTCACATCAAGCACACATCTAGGGAGGTAGCAAAGATGTCAGAATATACAAAGTA